TTGAGGGTCCCTAAGTGGTGAGATGTCCTAATCTATTTTTTGTTATTGTAATAAAATACCTGAGGTTGGATAATGTGTATAGAGAAGAGATTGACTTGGGCTCACAGTTGAAGGATAAAGGTCTGGGAGTCATAGGAAGGGTTTTCTGGCTGTGTCATAATATATTAGAGAGAGGGAAAGGTCAATGTGTGTTTTCTGAAGGGACACATGCAAGAGAGAATGAAAGAACTAAGGAGTGGATCAAACTCTTGCTTTCACATCAGTCTGCTTCTGCAGAACTAACCCAGCCTTGTGAGAACAGCACTCTTTCCAAGAGTGGTGGCCCCATTATCTAAACACCATCCACTAGGCCCTGCCTCTCTCAAATGTGTAACACAGGAAGATTTCAGGGAACAAATTATAGCCTCACATAGCAGGAGGTTCACATAGACACCAAGTCTCTCTGGTTGAGGGGACCTCTGCTCCTTGAGATTTCATCTTGGAAAAGTCCAATGAGCGGTCTGTTACTCACTGTCTTTAAAGACATCCTGACAAAGCTGCCTGGTGCCCTTCATCATGGATGGAATGTGACTCTATGACTCAGGTATTTCTGTCCAAACTGTAAGGGCTCGCAGTCTGTTACTGGCTCTGCCTCAGCTCATTTAATAGTGACCTGGCATCTGGTCCTGGTTTTCGAGGAGTCTATAACTGCAATTGAGGGACAGATCCTGCACAGCTGCGGTGGTGACCTGAAAAACAAAGAGATGGTTATTCCCATCAGAGAGAACAGGTGATGGTGGGGATGGAGTAGCTGTCAGCTTGCAGAGTATAAACCAGATACTGTCAGACCTTTCTCAGAGGCCAAAGAATCATGTTAGTAAAATAGGTCCAGAAACCTAAAATGTCTATCACTTAAGGTCTTAGCAAATGTCTAGGATCTTACATGTCATCAAAACTGCAACTTTTTACAATCAGTGTCACACTATAACTGTCTTCCACTGTTTTACATCTGGTGTCACACCATAGCTGTCTTTGTCTATTTCATTTATTTTATTTACTTATGATTTTTTTGAGACAGGGTTTCTCTGTGTAGCCTTGACTGTCCTGTAACATATTCTGTAGACCAGGCTGACCTTGAACTCAGAGATTGGACTGCCTCTAACTCTCAGGTGCTGGGATTACAGGTATGTACCACCACTATGTGGTTGTTTATTTTTATTTTTAAAATTATTTTTCCTTGCTGGGTGGTGGTGGGTGCATGCCTTTAATCCCAGCACTCAGTGGGCAGAGACAGGCAGATCTCTGTGAGTTTGAGACCAGCCTGGTCTACAAAGCAAGTTCCAAGATAGGCTCCAAAGCTACACAGAAAAACCCTGTCTCAAAAAAAAACAAAAAGAAAAAAAAAAGGTTTTTTTCCTTTATGTATGTTGTCTACATGTGTGTCTGTGTACCACACTCATGGCTAGTGTCAGAAGAGGGCATCATAATTGCTGGAACTGGAGTTACAGAGAGTTACTAGCCACTGTGTGGGTGCTGGGGATCCAAGGAAGAAGTTAATGAGGTATTGTAGAAAAATACTGCAGACATGAACTGGAGTCAGTGTGAGATCCCATGGGATCATCTAGGTCTAGCTTCTCTGGAAGGACAGAAAGAAAGAGGGACAGGGGGAGGAGAAAGGGAGGCAAAGAGGGGGGGAAAAGGAAGGAAAGGGGAAAGGAGGGAATCAGGAAGGGAGAGAAGGAAGGAAAGGAGGGAGTGAGGGGGAGAAGAAAGGAAAGAAGGCAGGAAGAAGGAAGGAAGGAAGGAAGGGAGGGAGGGAGGAAAAAAGGACAAGCCTCATAGGAACAAACATGTATAATATGTATCTTTCATTTAGCATGATGCTTCCGAGATCCATGTGGTATTTTTTTGTTGTTGTTGTTTTTGGTTTTTCGAGACAGGGTTTCTCTGTAGCTTCCGAGGCTGTTCTGGAACTCACTCTGTAGACCAGGCTGGCCTCCGACTCATAGAAATCTGCCTGCCTCTGGCTCCCAAGAGTTGGGATTAAAGGCATGTGCTACCAACGACCATCGATCCATGTGCTATTATTTCATAGTCTGCTTAATCTCTTTATAAAAAAAACACCATCAAGACTGTTCATGTTCTTTGTACATTTTCTATTGGGTCATTGGTCTCACTATAAATTCATTTTCAAAGTAAGTTCATTTTTTTAATGTCAGTGAGTAATATGAAGGTTATTTCTATGTTTTTTTTTCTAAAGTTTCTTGGTTGTGTTTTCTTGGTTATGTTTTCCCACCAACTGGCTGTTGAAAGTGCTTGGTTCCTTCTACTCTGCAAGTTGCTTGGGGATGCACTCTCTGTTTTGCTTCCCTGTTCTGAATTTCACCAGTGCCCAAGGAGGCGGGGTCCTCAGAGCAGACAGTATTGTCGAGGACAGAGCTGTGGTGACATTTTGTTTATGATCTAACAAAGCTTATCTGAAGATCAGAGTACAGAGCTAAGTCATTAGTTATCCACACACTTAAGCCATTAGTTAGCCGTAGAGGACAGGCAGTGGTGGCCACACCCTTAGTCCCAACACTTGGGAAACAGAGACAGATGGATTTTTGTGAGTTCAAGGTCACCCTAGGCTACATGAGAGTGAATCAGTCTAAAAGAGAAACAGAGCTCATGTCTTTAATCCCAGCACTAGAGAGAATATAAGGCAGGAATTCAGTGCATCCTGAGGTTTTTGGTGGAGAGTGTTGCAGTCTGCAGTCATGCTGAGGACAGGATTGCTCTTTTTTGGTCTTAGCCTTGGTAGAGGTAAAAACTCTCTAGTGGCTTGGCTGTTTTGCTTTTCTGACCTTCAGTTTGGACCTCAATATCTGTCTCTGGGTTTTTATTATTTGTGTTACACAGCAACTGCTTCAACCTCTGCGCCTTGTCTCATTCATGTGTGGCTTACTCAGTCACGGTTACAGCTCCTGCTGTTATCTCTGTTCACATGAGCCCGGGACTAGACACCCCACATGGCCAGCAGACAAAAGGACTCGGACTTCATCATGAACACGTGGATAGCAGGGCATCTCCACAGGGGCTGCTTTCCAGTTCTTAGTGAGAATAGCATGCTGGGCAGATCCGTGGAACAGAAACCTACTGTGGCAGGCAAGGAGCTCTCCGCATCATCGCTCAGCACCAAGGGCTGGCTGGGCCCTGGCTCCAATTTCTCTTCTTTCTCAGGCTGCAATATCAAGAGGAACTAGGTAGAGTGGGAGGGAAGTGAAGGCCCTGATTCTACAGGTGAACGTTGGGCTTCCTGGGAAAACTTTCAACTTACAGGGTCAGGCTGGAATGTGTAATTGGTGTGGCATTCTCTTCTGGTATTTTCCCAAGCAAGAAGCTGCTGTGTACCAGCCAGCCTCAGTGCCCAGCTGCCAAGCACAGGGTGCCATCCTGTTTTCAGGACCGGCAACTGGCCCCGCACTAAGGACACAGGACCTGCTTAGAAACTGCTGTGTTCCTGTTTAAGTCCAATAGGAAGCTTGAGTGTGATCCTCACATGGGAACAAACTGATGTCTGTCTGTCTGCCTGACTACTTGTCTGTCTGCTTTTGAGACAGGGCTCATGGAGCCTAGGGTGGCCTTGAACTTGTTACATGACCTGAGAAAAATCTCAGACTCCTGATCCTTCTGCTTTCATCTCCCACGTGCTGGGTTGACAGGCACATGTCACCGTCCCCAGTTTAGGCAGTGCCGAGAATGGAACTCAGGGTTCTGTGCATGCTAGACAAAAACTGCTGAATGAACTGCTATCTCCAGCCCTAAGAATCAAATTAGTGTTATCTTGTTTTTCTTTCTGTTCTTTCTCAATCTAGCACAAGATGGAAATAAAGAGGGCATAAAACAGTGAGGAGGAATTTGGAATTAGTGATAATGGCAAACGATCTTGGTGCAACTCCAATGCCCACCTAAAATGCTTTAAATCAGGAGCTACTGAAAGGAGATAACTGGGGTTATAGATGGACCTTAATGTGTCCCGATTTTATGTGGATTTTGGGGATTCAAACTCCTACTTGTACAGCAATTGCCCTAACCCTAGCCCTAACCCCAACCCTAAATCCCCAGCCTTAGAATTTCCTAATGGAATTTTCTAAGATTCAATTTCTTTTTTCCTTTCTTTTTAAGATTTACTTTATGAGCATTGGTGTTTTGCCTGCATGCATGTCTGTGTGAGGGTGCTAGATCCCCCGGAACTGGAGTTACAGACAGTTGTGAGCTGCCATGTGGGTGCTGGGAATTGAACCCAGGTCCTCTGGAAGAGTGATCAGTGTTCCTAACCCAGTGCAGTTCCAGATTTCAATGTCTTTCTTTTTTTTTTTTGGTTTTTTGAGACAGGGTTTCTCTGTGGCTTTGGAGGCTGTCCCAGAACTAGCTCTTGTAGACCAGATTGATCCTGAACTCACCGAGATCCACCTGCCTCTGCCTCCTGAGTGCTGGGATTAAAGTCATGTGCCACCACTGCCCGGTGACTTCAATTTCTTAACCCAAGAAATCTCCCCTGGAATCTGAACACTCTCTAAATCTTTAGAGTTGGTGATCAGAGACATTATAAAGAGATTTTTGGAGAGCTTGGCTCAGTGGTTAACAAGGGCCTTTCCAAATTCTTTTGTTGTTGTTTTTGTTTTGAGACAAGATCTGGTATAGCCCAGGCTGTTCTCAAGTTCGTTATATAGGGGCTGATGAGATGGCTTAGTAGCTAGAGGCTCTGGTGAGTCCAATCCCCAGAATCTAAATAGTGGAAGGAGAGAACTTATCCCTGAAAGTTGCATACGATAGCAAGTGTGTGTGCCCACACTAAATAAACAAAATATAAGAAACAATTAAAAATCCACATGAATAAAATGGCTTTAATACCTGGAAATTGTGAGATACCACGTAGCCACGATAACCTCGAACTCCTGATCTTCCTGCCTCTTCCAAGTGCTAGGCACAAGTCACCATAACCAATTGCCTTTCTAAACCCTTAGAGCCTGACTCTGGGGTCCTCAAAGAGTCCGGGAGCCTTTCTCAACATCTCTCGTGTGGGAAGACCATCTGCTCCATGCTGCTTGCCACACAAATCACCATTGTGTAGCCCCACGGTGAGTTTCAGTGAGTTGGTTCTACCACGTGTGACACAGGTAGGCTTGGACTCACAGGTATGTTTGTTCTATGGTTCATATTCAGATGTGTGTCCCAAGTAGTTTACTTTAGCAACTATATTCTTTGTCTTCCGTGCTCTCCCAGGCATTGAGCGCACTGTCATCTCCGTGTGGGTGCTCGGCAAACAGTAATTGATGGTGACCAGGAGGATAATGATGTTGATGAATGACTTCATGAAACTGATGAGTCACTGGACTGGAAAGGCTCAGGCACAGCAGTTATGTAATGCTGCTTCACCAAACAGGTAATGTTTCATACCTCAGTGCGCTCAGGACATTCTGCCTGACAGTGCTTAGTCACTGTTTCTAGACCAAGCCCCAAAGGCATCTCTGGTTAGAGACTTTCTGAAAGCCAGTGACTGTTTATTCCAGGGACACAGCTGCTTCTCTTTGGCTCAAGATCTACCGAAACTTACCAAAACTCCCACAGAAGTTAGCCATTAAATAAATGAGAAGATGAAGCAAGAAGCCTGAGTCAGACAATAAAAACAATGTAACTGACATGAGACACACATATATACTTCATTGAAAATTCAAATTTTGAATCTAGGATTCCCCTACTTGAAAATCCATCAGTTGAATCAACATTTCCTTAGGCAATGGGATTCTTCATGAGGAGTATATTGGAAGCCAGACGTGACTCACAGTCTCATGGCAATCTGCACAATGATGAGTACTCCACAAAAGACAGGTCCTCTAGAGAAGGTGGACTCCCTACAGAAAATGCCTATATTCACCTTTGGAAGGACCCTGCAAAGCACATCATTTCCAACCTTCTTCTTAGGGGACCAGGATGCCTCGAAATTCCCCTTCCTCTCTCCTGAGGAGAGCTCCTTCTGAAGACTCCCCAACCCCAAGGCCATGTCTTAGTGTCAGTGTGAGCAGAAGGACACACACTTCTAGGATATGGTAGGTAGCCCCTTCAAGCTTTCAAACTCTAAGCTTTGAAAAATTAACAAACAATATGGTTGCATGTAAGACACTCATTATGAGCCCGGTGGTGGTGGTGCACGACTTTAATCCCAGCACTTGGGAGGCAGAGGCAGGCAGATGTTCAGTGAGTTCGAGGTCAGCCTGGTTTACAAAGTGAGTTCCAGGACAGCCAGGACTGTCACAAACCCTGTCTTGAAAAACAAACAAACAAACAAACAAACAAACAAACAAAACAAAAAAGAGACTCATTTTGGGGGTTAGCAAGAAGGCTCAGCAGGTGAAGGTATTTAACTTCCTGGCCTGTTAGATCCCTGGGCCCCACTAGTAGGAGAGAACAAACCCCCACAGATTAGTCTCTGACCTCAACACGTGCAGTGTGGCAAGAGTGTGCACAGGCACACACAAACACACACTAAATATTCAAAAAGGATGAACTAGAGGCTCAATTTGCCTTTGGAATATACATAAACTGAAGCAGAGGGATGGGAGCATTTCATGGAGAGGGAGACCAGTCAGAGCAGGGGTAGCTGTGGATACATCACAGAAAAAAAGGCCTTAACTTACATGCGACATATTGTTGTGTGTGTGTTTGTGTGGAGGTCAGAGGGTTCAGATTTTCCTGGACCTGAAGTTACAGTCAGCAGTGAGCCACCAACATGGGTGCTGGAACAACTACAGGTCCTCTGAGAGAGCGGCGAATGCTCTTAACTCCAGCCCTTTATCTTGTTCTTTAAAACCTTCATATGCATCCAAAATTACACATTTCTCTATTGATGGGCATTTAGGTAATTTTCAGGCTTTTCCCCCCTTTTGAAAGCAATCTATATATACCATGAGAAAAAAAAATCGTGATATGAAGCACATGATCTCTCGCTTAGGTGACTGCTTTACTAAGATATAAGTTGAGACAACCAGTATATACTGTTTTGCTTTATTAGTTGAGATGGGGTTTTACTGTGCATCTTGAGAGGACCCGGAACTTGCTGGAGAGATGGTTCAGTGGTTAACAGCATTGACTGCTCTTCCAGAGGACACACACACACACACACACACACACACACACACACACACACACACACACCATTCAATAAAAAGAAAGCTGGGCAGTGGTGGCACATGCCTTTAATCCCAGCACTCAGGAGGCAGAGGCAAGCAGATCTCTGTGAGTTCAAAGCCAGCCTGCTCTACAGAGTGAGTTCCAGGACAGGCTCCAAAGCTACACAGAGAAACCTTGTCTCAAAAAAAAAAAAAAAAAAAAAAAGACAAAAGAAAAGAAAAAAAAAAAAAGAAAAAGAAAAAGCCAAGATCTAATGGCTTCACCAGCAAACACTCAAGAATATTTAAATAATTGACATCAATTGACGAGCTGCAGATGTGACTCAGCTGCAGACTGCTTGCCTTGCATGTTTGAGACACTGGGTTTGATCTCTACCACTGTAAGGGTAAACATTAGTTTAAGGGATGAGGAGATGGCTCAGTGGGTAAAAGCACTTGTGTGCAAGCTTGCTGATATGAGTTTGATCCCTGGGGCCTACATGGTAGAAGGAGAGAATCAATTCCCTCAAGTTATCTTCTGATAAACAAGAAAAAAAAGTGAGGGCTGGAGAGATGGTTTAGTGGGTAAAAGTATTTGCTGTGAAAATAAGAGGCCTTACTCCAGCACCCATGTAAAAGCCAGGGTATGGCCACCTGTGCCTGTAGCCCTGGTGCCTTGGGGCAGAGACTGGTGGGTTCCAGGAACTCGATAGCCAGCCAGTCTAGCCAAACCAGTGAGCTTCAGGGTTAGTGAGAGATCCTGTCTCAAAAAATGAGGTGAAGATTGGGTGGGGTGGCACATGCCTTGAATTCCGTCAAAGCACTTGAGAAGCAGAGGCAGGAGGATCTCTGAGAATGAGTTTCATGACAGACAGGGCAATCAGTGTAGTGAGACACAGTGCGTTAAAGCCAAACCAAACCAAACAGTTCCACCCTCCAGTGTTTCTCTAAAGAGGGCAAGCCAACATCCAGCACATACATTTAAATGCTCTGCAGGATTGAGCGTGGAGCCCAGCTGATGGTGTGTTCACCTATCCTGCACAAAGCCTTGGGTTCAACCCTGAGCACCATGTAAGACCTGGCATGATGGCCTGAAGCATTTATCTAATTATTCTTTATCAATAAAAACTCGAGAGCCAGATATTGGAGGCAAGAACCTGATTGACCAGAGAAGCGTCGGAGAAATGACCAATGACTTCCTCTCTTTCTGCCTTCTCATCCCAAAAGACTGAGAATCTTTCTAAACTCCTTCCTATTACTTCCTGTGTCTTTCTATATGTTCTGGATCCTCCAAACCTCTATGGCTAATTTTGGTCTACTAGTAGCTAGTTCTGCCCTCTGGTTCAAGGCAAACTATACTGGCAGTCTTGGGAGTGTCAGAGTTCAACCAAAATATCCCACAACAGTGGCCCATTATGGGGAAATTTGATCACACTGTGAAGATGTGCCTCCATTTAACCTCACCTGCCTATGGAATGTTCTGATTGGTTAAACAAATACCTGAACGATCAATAGCTAGGTAGGAGAGGGCAGGTGGGACTTCTGGGCACAGATAGGAATTCTGGGAAGAATCTTGTTTGGGAGATTTGCCAGTCAGACATGGAGGAAGTTGGACATTCGGTACTGAGGAGAGTTAATGAGCGATGTGTTAGAATGGAGATTAATATAAACAGGTTAATTTAGTTGTGAAGAAGCCTAAACTGAGGCCAAGCATCCATACATAATAAGAAGTCTCCATGTCATTGTTCAGGAGCTGGTGGTCCAAAGAAAGACCCATTATAGGCCCCTGCCTCTCATCCCCCTACTCAGGAGGTGGAGGCAGGAGTCTATGCAGTTAGTTTAATTAGAGATCAGCCTAGGCTACAGGATAACCCCCCTCTCAAAAATAACAAAAAGCTGAATGTCACTAATTATTATAGAAATGCAGATAACATTTTATATCCTTGTCAAAAGGATGAAAGAGGAACTAGAAAGATGACTCACTGGTTAAGAGCACTGGCTGCTCTTCCAGAGGATCAAGTTCAATTCCCAGCACACACACACACACACACACACACACACACACACACACACACACACAAGCAAAGCTTCCACACTCATAAAAACCAATCAATCAGTTAATCAATTTTTTAAAAGATGAAAGAAGCCAGTCAGGCTTGGTGTCCAATATTTGTAATCCCAGCACCCAAGCACTTGGACAGCAGAGATTGGCAGATCTCTGTGACTTCAAGGCCAAGCTGGTTTAACTAGCAAGTTCCAGGCCAGATCAAGATGAGCTTATCCATGTGGGTAAAAATGTGAGTATAATTTTACTCAAGGTATTCATCCATAGAAGCATAAATCAATAAAAAGGATAGCCACACTCCCATGTTGACTTTTGTGTAACACATGGTTGCCAAGATCAAACCATGTGCCCGTTAGTGGGTGGGTGGATAAAGAAAATGTTTACATATACAACAAGATTTCCTTTAGCCCTTTCAGAAGGAGGGAGACAGCTGTGTGTTGTGGTGCACGCCTTTACTCCCAGCCCTTGGTGGGCAGAGGCAGGTGGATCTCTGAGTTCAAGGCCAGTCTGGTCTACAGAGTTTGTTCCAGGACAGCCAAAGCTACACAGATAAATGTGGAGGACACCCTGCTAAGTGGAGCAAAGCCAGCCACAGAAAGACAGGCTGCACGATTTCGTTTGCTTGTGGAATATGGAAAAGTTGGGCTTATAACAGAGGGAAGCTAAGATCAAATGTAGACTAGAACAGTTGTTCTCAGAGGCTGGGAGTGGGCAGGAGGAAGGTATGGGGACTGTTGGTCAAACTCAAAATTTCAGAGAGGAAGGAGGATATCTGACCATAGCATTCAAAACTCTCAGAGTCTCCTCAGACAGGCAGGATAAATAGATTTTGAGATCTATATGTAACACAAAAGGGTGACAGTAACATTGTAATGTATTTTTCAGAATAACTATATTTCAAGTGTCTCACTAAAAAATGATGTGAGGATATGATAGAGTCAATGTTGCTGCATTGTGCATATACATAGAAACATTACATATACTCATCTATCTATTTATCATCTATCTATCTATATCATCTATCAAGTGTATACAACTATGTATACAACTATGATTTGTCAACCAAGAACAGTATAAATTTAAAAAGTAACTATAGTATTGATTGAACACTGAAGGGAAATGAGGTTTCCAAATGTAGAGTTTTTTTTTTTTTGAGCTTCAGAGGTCTATTTTGGTTTGTTACAAAACAAAACAAGATCTTTCCATTTTAAATTAAAGGTGGTGTTTATTAAGAATAAGATTTTAGGACCTGGAAATGTGTATGGATTTGTTGAGAGCTTGCCAAGCATGCTAGAAGTTTTGGGTTCATCCCCCAGTATTAAATAAAGTAGGTATGGTGAGCATGCTTGTAATCCCAGCCCTTAGGAGGTATAGGTAGAGGACCAGGAGTTCAAGGTCATCCTCGGCTATGGTAGTGAGTTTGAGGCAGGCTAGAATACATGGGAACCAGTCTCTCTCTTTCTTCCTTTTGTTTGATTTTTTGAGAAAGGGTTTCTGTATAGCTCTGGCTGTCCGGGAACTTGCTCTGTAGACCAGGCTGGCCTTGAACTCACAGAGATCCACCCACCTCTGCCTCCTGAGTGCTGGAATTAAAGATGTGTGCCACCACCACCCAACTAGACCCAGTCTCAAAAAAAATTAAAACAATTCTTTTCCTTCCTTCCTTCCTTCCTTCCTTCCTTCCTTCCTTCCTTCCTTCCTTCCCTTCTTCCTTCCTTCCTTCCTTCCCTCCCTCCTTCCCCTTCCTTTCCTCCTTCCTTTCCCTTCCTTCCCTCCCTCCCTCCCTCTCTCTAATTCTCTTTCCCCCAGCTTTTCAAGACAATGTTTCTCTGAATAACAGCCCTAGCTGACCTTGAACTCACAGACATACACCTGCTTCTGCCTCTCAAGT